GGGACAAGGTTATGCAATATTCCATATTAATGGAAAAAGTAAGAGGAGAACAAAAGTTTTATCCCATGAACTTATTGAGCTAAGAATTATTCTTTAGTGACAGAACTCATACAAAAGAACTAAGGTAGACCTAGAGGTGGACTGTATTTCACCATATTTTTCTTATGAAGTAATCTTACGTAGCAAATTTCGGTCTTTCAACACCTTACCACAAGGGTAGGCAACCTTTCCCCTTTAAGGGCCGAGGGACTTCAGCTCCCAGAATCCCAGGAGCTATTGGCCAACATGGGACTATTGGCCAACATGGCTGAGGCTTCTGGGAGCTGAAGTCCCTCGGCCCTTAAAGGGGAAAGGTTGCCTACCCTTGCCTTACCACAAAATGTCTCATACTCCATGACACAATTTTGTTTTCTCTCTCTCCCTCTCTCTTTTTGGTACTTTTTGACCACCACAATGGGGGGTTGCAGAGTGCCAGAAATAGTGCAAATTGAGTCCACTTTAAGGGTTAGGGTTAGTGCTAGGGAATCATGGGAATTGTTTTTTTTTTCTTCTGAGACATTGAGCCTTCTCTGTCAGAGAGCTCTGGTGCCACAATAAAATACAGTTCCCATGATTCCCTAACCCTAAACCTAACCCTAAAAGTGGACTCAATTTGCACTATTTCTGGCAGTCTGCAACCCCCCAATTTCAAACAGGGATCTTTAAACCTTTTTTGCAATGTAGCCTACATTTTCGCAAGCCTTTGTGGCTGAAGAGTGGAGTATAAATACAATAAATAAATAAATAAATAAGGGCGTTTTTCTTGAAAACGGCACAAAATTGAGATTTTTATTAAAATGATGGGGCAGTCTGGAAATATGGGGGAAGGGGAAATGGTACTGTCTCATTTAAAACGGTACGCATGGTCAACCTACTTGGAAGTAGTACCTCACATTTTAATACAGAATGAAGAATTATACCACTTGTGAGGTATTGTGGGGATTTATTCCCTCAGATCAGGGGTAGGCAACCTTTCCCCTTTAAGGGCCGAGGGACTTCAGCTCCCAGAAGCCTCAGCCATGTTGGCCAATAGTCCCATGTTGGCCAATAGCTCCTGGGATTCTGGGAGCTGAAGTCCCTTGGCCCTTAAAGGGGAAAGGTTGCCTACCCCTGCCTCAGATCCTAGAAAGAGCTAAATAGAAAATACTGTAAATGCATCTGAGGAAGTAGACTGCAGTTTATGAAAGCTCATGCTGCCAACTTTTTTCTTTCAGTTAGGGCCTGAACACACTGCCAAAAATATTCCAGTTTGAGATCACTTTAACTGTCCTGGCTCAAAGCTAGGGAATTGTATTTTTTTCTGAGACATTGAGTCTTCTCTGTCAGAGAGGTCTGGTGCCACAATAAACTACAGTTCCCATGATTCCCTTGCACTGAGCCAGGGCAGTTAAAGTGGTCTCAAAATGGATTATTTCTGGCAGTCTGTTCAGGCCCTTAGGGCCTTTACAGACTGCCAGAAATAATGCAGCTTGAGGCCACTTTAACTGTCCTGGCTCAGTGGTAAGGAATCATGGGAACCGTAATATATTGTGGCACCAGACCTCTCTGACAGAGAAGGCTCAATTTCCCAGAAAAACAACAACACCATTTCCCATAATTCCCTAGCACTGTGCCAGGACAGTTAAAGTGGCCTCAAGCTGCATTATATCTGGCAGTCTGTTCAGGCCCTTGGTCTCAAAGGTGCTACAAGATTTCTCTACATACTGATTCTACAGACTAACATCTTTGAATTCTAGAAAGTACTGCCTTTACAGAGTGCCAGAAATAATCCAGTTTGAGACCACTTTAACTGCCCTGGTTCAGTGTTAAGGAATCATGGGAACTGTAGTTTATTGTGGCACCAGAGCTCTCTGACAGAGAAGGCTCAATGTCTCAGGAAAAAAACTACAATTCCCATCTACCCTAGCATTGAGCCAAGGCAGTTAAAGTGGCCTCAAAATGGATTATTCCTGGCACTCTGTTCAGGCCCTCATTTTCAATCCCATTATTCTCAGATTTCTTGTAGCTCCCACCCCCTTGCCTTGTGTACTTCTCCTTTTGTGGCTTTAATGCTAAAAAGGAGAAATATTCACCTTTCTAAGAGCAATTCTTGCCTAGCTTCAGCACAACTCCTGCTGAGCCATCTTGTCTGCATCTAAAAGATGGCAGTTAACAGTTTATGACTCTGGATTCCAACAGTTAACAATTGGAAGATTTCACCTCCCTTCATAGGTCGCACCATGTCTCCTAAAGGATCAAGCTGCGACAATGCTTATTAACGGCTATTTTTATTACAATTATTAAAACCACTGTGGATCAGGGGCTCAGTTTGGCCTATGTATCAGAAGGAGAACAAATGTCTGGTTAAAACAAAATAAAAATCTAACCCGAGAACATTTGTATTTTATGTTTAACCAAAAACACACTTGAGTAGACAGTTACAATTTTAGTAATCGCCACGTACGTGAGCTGTTTGCTGAAATATCTGAAACCGATGAAGTATCTCACTTTAATAATTTTTATAAAGACTTCATCTATAGCCTAGTTACATCGATAGATAGGTTTTTGAAAGCTTTCCACTTCCTCCTTATTATTATTATTATTTGCTAACACCAAAAAAAACAAACCTTTGAGCCTGGTATGTATGAGATAGTATGAGATTATCATCTTTAGAGATTTCTGCAATCAGATTTTAAATTGCTATACACAGGAGTGTACAAAAATCACTGAACCACAATTACAGGTGTTTTGCATAAATAAAAATGACCTGATTCAACTGTATATAGCCATTTATAGGCACATGTAATAGAAAAACGTACACAACACCACTCAGTTTAATATACATTAAATTGTTACCACAGATTAGGGGGGGAACTTTGTAATAGACAGTAACTAATGACAAAACTAATGTCCAAACATGAAGTTACAGCCCATTTAATTGTTGTGGTGACAACATATTAGCAAGGGAATTAATCATAATGATCAAAAGTAAAATAGGAGCCAACAGCAGGGTTTTGTATTTAGATGTGTAGTGTACAAAGATTAAAATAATTTTTCTTATACCATGTAGGTTTTATCATATATGTTGTCCTTTTACATTTTTATTTATGTTTTTATGTAGCCCTGAAGAAAGCCTATACCAGGGGTCCCCACACTTTTTGATCCAGGGGCTGGTTCGCTGGCCCCCAGATCTTCGGGGGGCCGGAGGTGCGCATGCGCACTACTCAGGCGCCATTTTGGAAAACAAAATGGTGCCCGAGTAGTGCGCATGTGCGCGTGACACCAGGCGCATGCCCATGACTCCAGGCGCCATTTTGGAAAACAAAATGGCACTGGAGTAGTGCACATGCACGCGTGACTCCAGGCACCATTTTGTGTCTCAAAATGGCGCCCGGAGTTGTGTGCATGCGCGCGTGACACCAGGTGCAATTTTGGAACACAAAATGGTGCCCCGCGTCGCACGTGCGTGGTGGCAGTGGCGGCGGGACTGGCCGCAGGGCAGTTCAAAGGCCTCAACGGGCCGGGTTCGGCCCACGGGCCGTAATTTGGGGACCTCTGGCCTATACACACACACACGGCTTTCTCTACAATAAAGAAGCCATTTTTCAAGCACTTTGAGACATGTCTTCATTTTCGTTCCATGGCTCCCTTAATTGAGTCAATTTGTCTATAATAAGGTTTTCTAAAACCAATTGGGTCATGTAAGCTTAGTTGACTCTTTATCACTGTGGTTCATTTAATTCGTAATTTGATTCTGGAGATAATATTCCAGTTAATCAATCACTTTTATTAAAAACCCAAGTGTAATTGAACTGCTCCATTCTGTTGGCAGATTTCCAGCCTAATTGCTAATGAAATTGATTTCACTGAATTCGCTCCTAGGGATGGGAGCAACAACAGCATCAAGGGTCCCCCTTTCCTCTTCCTTGTTTTCTGAAAATGCCAGCATCCTTCCAAAAAGAGAAACTGGTTTATGCTAGTCCAGTTTGTTTCATGTAAATGCTTCTTGAAACGTTCCCTTAAAAAGTATAATGTAATACATATAGACAATGATGCACCCAAACTGAATATTGCTGTGGATTAGACAAACAGAAGTATCTTCTTTAAATGACAAAAGAGTTTATCACATGGAGGAAATTGAGACTTTAAACAGTGATTAACCTGAGAAAATTGTGCAATTGGCATTAAAACATGATTGAAATGAGATTAACACAAGAGCCATTATCCTGTGAATAACCGGGGAATAACCAGGGAATAAACAAGAAAATCCCGTGAATTATTTGCTGCTGTTTCTTGCCTGGTTATTCACAGGTTAATGGCACTTTAATCACGTTTGACCTCGACGTGTGAAAACCATTAGCATAATTGCGTGATAATAACAGGTTAATCACAAGATAATATCACTTTGAACACAATGTTGTGTGAAAACCATTAGCACAATTGCGGGATTATCACAGGTTAAGGACCGTTTATATTTCCAATTCCCTCGTGATAAACTCTCAAGGCAAAAGAAATTGGCAGAGAGTGAAGGTGAAATTGCAGTGCAGTGATGATTCCTAGCTATGTGTTTCCTCAATATTGCTGTTCTGTACTATAAACACTTTGTGGCAGTAATGCATATTTTTTTTTTCCTGAAGGGTTTTCTGCACTCAAAAAGAAAGTTCTACCTATTGCCACCACAGCTGAATACCAGAAGTATTTCTTCCTGTATTACTATTACATGCTGTCACCCCAGAGCATTAGAAATAGATTATATAATGCAAATATTTTGTTCTAGGCTTATATTTTTTATCAGACAAAAAGCCATGTCTCCTTTCTTCCATGAGAATATTGAATAAATTCCACAGCTTCACAACATGCTACCAAAGAAAGAAAGCTGCACCTGGCAAATAGTACATCTATTTAATTGGTTTCTTCATTGTCTGCTTATATTCAGGCTAGTTAAGGATCTGTACATGGAGTATTTTTACTATTGTGGTGGAGCCAGTGTGACATAGTGTTTTGAGCATTGGACTGTGACTCTGGAGTCCAGGGTTCGAATCTCAGCTCGGCCATGAAACCCACTGGGTGACCCCAGGCAATTCACACTCTTTCAGCCTCAGAGAATGGCAATGGCATACCCCCTCTGAAGATATTTGCCAAGAAAACCCCATTACAGGTTCACCGTAGGGTCGCCATAAGTCATAAATGACTTAAAGGCACACAGCAACAACAATATCAATGGTAAGAAGTAGACCCATTGATGTGTTTTCCTTCTTATTTTAAGTGGATTAGCCATTGATCCTTGCTGAGATTAGAAGAGCAGAGTAGTGCTACAGATTGGGTATCCCTTATCCAGAATTCTGAAATACTCCAAAATCCAAAATGGGTGGGTGAGATAGTGACATCTTTCAGTGTACACAAACTTTGTTTCATGCACAAAATTACCTTCTGGCTATTTTTATAAGATATATTTGAAACATAAATGAACTTCATGTTTAGATTTGGGTCCCATCTGCAAGATATCTCATTATGTATATTGCAAATATTCCAAAATAAAAAAAAATTCCCAAACACTTCTGGTCCCAAGCATTTTGGATAAGGGAAATTCAACTTGTAGTTAATCTGAAGGTTAATTATGAGAGCATCCTCTAGTCTATTAGTAGTATTATCAGCTTGCAGTAGGTAGGTGTTATTTCTCTCTGTATGGATAACTGTATTCTTGTTCAAGATTTCCTTTCCAGAATGGAAAGAAAAATTCTTAAAGAAAAGACCTAGGTGTGGTGAACTGTACAGAATCAAATTTTGTATCTTAATCTGCAAATGAAAAAAAATAATGTAAAAGCAGAATGATATGGCAACGTCATCCTTTTATTGTAGAATGAAAGTTTTGCCATATTTCCAAAACTGACCTTGGTACAGGTTTCTGGTTGAGGTTTATTGTACCAACTCAAGCTTCTCTGCCTTATTGCAAAACTAAAAGAATTGTAGGTTTCTGTCTGATTCTAGAATGTAGTTGCTAATAATGCATTGCCCTTGGTTGTGACATTGTTTTAGTTTATCGTATATATTCAGCTATAAGTCTACTTCATGTATAATTGAAGAACAGGTTTGGAGGCCAAAATTACGGATTTTGATATAACCGATGTGTAAGTTGAGGGTAAAACATAGGAGCATGTAACAAAGGATGTAAAGGATGAAGGAAAGGAAAATTATGCCAAAGCACACTGCTTTTTTTCCATCCAGACATATAAAAAGGCCAGAAGCAACACTGCAGTGAAGAGTAGAAGGGATCAATGCTTTTTTTAGGTTCTCCCAAGATAGACTATTCAGAGTGTAGAGCGGATAGTTCCCTTTTGGATAAGAGTTAAAGTACAGTACTTACATTGACCAATGGATAAGTCAACCCAGAATTTTGGGCCAATATTTTTGACTAAAATGTCTATACTTATATATGAATATATACAGTATTAATAAATATAATAAATGGGGTAGGGTGGTGGTAGTATTAGTACAGATTGAGTGTCCGTTAGCCAACATCCTTGGGACAAAAATGTTTTGGATTTTGGATATTTATTTATTTATTTATTTGGAGTTTGGAATAGCATATACAGACTAGCTTGTTGCAAAGTTAAATAATACAGTTTACCTGATCCAGCTTAAAATTTAAATCAGGCAGCATCCTGATGTTATTACAAGGATTTTGCCACTGAATCTGCTGCCCAAATGCAGACCGGGTCCATCCCCACTCCCAGAGCACTTAGCGTGACTCTTTTCGAAGCCGGGAGTTTTCCACTGGAGCGACCCTGGGAGTGGGGATGAATCATAGAATCATAGGACATTATCACACGTGGGCCAGAAAGTGATAATAAAGTGGAAATGAGGCATTCCGAAAATAAACCGAAAATAAACCTTGATTCCGCAAATGGCTTTCACATGTAATTCCCTTAATTGCGAATTTACAGTAAGCGCATTTAACGTTCACACACAAGTGAGAAAAGCCTGTAAATGTACTAGAAATGATCTTCTTGCACATGCGCAGATAGAGGAATGCTTGCCGTGGAACCATGGGAAAAAGCAGGGAAATGCTCCCAAATGCACATTTACTTTTCACATTACGGTAAATGCGAAATTACTGTAATTTCGCAAATGCATTTCCTCAAAACTACCAAATTTCAAAAGATCTCGGATAACACCAGTTTCTGTCCAGTTTCTGTGCGACGTCATGTGAAATCGTGAGGCACAAATCCAGTTTCTGTTTGGGATTTGTGTGGATTAAGTAGATTTCCCCCGTGTGATAATGTCCATAGAATCATAGAGTGGGAAGAGACCACAAGGGCCATCCAGTCCAATCCCCTGCCATGCAGGAACTCCCAATCAAAGCATCCCCGACAGATGGCCATCCAGCCTCTGCTTAAAGACCTCCAAGGAAGGAGACTCCACTACTCTCCGAGGGAGTGTGTTCCACTGTCGAACAGCCCTTACTGTCAGGAAGTTTCCCCTAATGTTAAGGTGGAATCTCTTTTCCTGGAGCTTACATCCATTGTGGATCCAGGATGGACCTGGGTGGCAGATTCAGCGACTAAATCCTTGTGATAATATCAGGATGCCGCCCGATTTAAATTTTAAGCTGGATCAGGTAAGCCGTATTATTTAACTTTGTGATAAGCTCCATAGTGAGGTATCTTGGAGATGGGCTCCTAGTCTAAACATGAAATTATGTTTCTTATACAGTTTATGCAGGAAGCCTCTACTTATCTGACAGATTAGGTACTGGAGGACTGTCAGAAAGTAGAATTGGTTGAAACGTGGAACCCAGGTTTTTTTTTAGCTTGCAAATGCATTTTGGCAGCCAAAAAGCGTAACGCTATATATCATGAAAAAGCTACATAACATACTATACACACACGTGTGTGCGTAAAGCAAAATGAATAAAAGCTTACCTTTAATATCCTGCTCTGTATATTGTTGTATATGGCTGAACTTTATTAAAGAGACCATGAATAGGAGTTTGCAGGAACTGGGCCGAGCAGTAGAGGACAGGGGGGGCTGGAGATGCAGTTAACAACAACAAAAGGTGCTCCTTTAATGGCGTTTTCTTGGCACATTTCATAAAAGGGGGGCATTGTCATTCTCTGAAGCTGAGAGAGTGCGACTTGCCAAAGGTCATCCAGTGGGTTTATATGATCAAGCTGGGATTCAAGTCTTGGTCTCCAAAGTTATAGTCCAATCATCAAACCACTACAGCCTGCTGGCTCTCTGCAAAAGCTTATTACTAATCAAAGGTTCACTGAATGAATGCTTTCCCATTTAAATTACGGTATATTTGAAAAGTTGTAAAGAATCAGGTGCTTGATTAGTCATAATAGATCCACACATAAAAAAAAGCCATGATGTGTTGGTAAGAGAGAACAAGTATATGAATTTGCCTTTAGAATTTGCTCAGATCTCCTTTGCTTTCCTAGTTGTCCTAACCATTTCTGTGAAACCACTCATGACAATCTATGATGCCCAGAAACAAAAACAGTAATTGGAAACTGGGGACACCAGTCAAGGAAATGTACAATTCACAACTGTGAAATCCTATCCCTGTTATGCTGCCTTTCCAAGGGCAGGGAATTTATGACGAAGGGTTGAATTCAGTGATCTTAATTGTGAAGTAGTGTGTTCCTGGTGGGAATATAAAACACAGTTGTTCGGAATACATTCTTTGTGTAATAGCAACCTAATGTATTAGAGATGCATGCTGGTTTTATATGTGACTAAGCTTATAAAGAGATTTCAGATTTACTGGACATCTGTGTGTGCATCCGGGATTATTCGAGGCAGGTGCGTACATGACGTCACTGTTAACACCGGGCATCGATGGCTCGTCGGTCAATTCCTTTCACACCCTTCTTAAACAAAACACTGGCACTGGGCCTGGCATGCTGCATAACAAGTTCAGATTCTGGATCATTGAGAGAGCCTTTAGCCAGCAACAGGAACTCACAGGAACTAAAAAACTTTTCCTTCTCTAACTAACTTCATTCAATAAAAGTTGAGTCAACATGCACAACTCGCACAAATGTTTATTGCTAAGCCTACTGCTCTTAATTGGGAAAGCAAGACAGTTATGATTCATTGTCTTTCTTATATAATGATTGTAAACTTGGCAGTGGCGGTTGTTCGATTGCTTTACAGTGGGTTCTTGGTATTCTCTTGGGTTTGGTTCCAGGTCACCTACAAACTCCCACACCCATGGATACCAAAATCTGTGGATGCTCAAGTCCCATTAAATACAGTCCCTTAGATGGCGTCCCTTAGATAAAATGGCCAAATCGAGGTTTGCTTTTAGGAATTTATATATTTTTTTAAAAAATATGTATTTTCAAGCCATGGATGGTTGAATTCTTGGATAAAGAATCTGTGGATATGCAGGTCTGACTTTATATTAATTTCCTTTAAGAATTGTTGTAACAACTGGTGGTTATTTATCTTGTATTATTAACATATAAAACATTCAGATTCTTCTCGTATGATTTAATCATGCTGAGATTTAGATTATCAACTGTACCCATAATTGAAAGCTGGATTTATTCCATGACACCAACTAAAGACTGATGATAGAATAAAAAGATATAGCTGTGTTAGTCTATACAATATTATATAGAGATCTTGTAGCACCTTTGAGACTAACTAAAGAAAGAAGTTGCCAGCATGAGCTTTCGTAGACTTGTCTACTTCCTCCGAATGACCGAATACGAAAGCTCATGCTGCAAACTTCTTTCTTTAGTAAAGGGAGTTGCAGACTGCCAAAAATAGTGCAAATTGAGTCCACTTTAAGGGTTAGGGTTAGTGCTAGGGACTCATGGGAATTGTTCCCCCCCCCCCCCGAGATATTGAGCCTTCTCTGTCAGAGAGCTTTGGTGCCACAATAAAATACAGTTCCCATGATTCCCTAACCCTAACCCTAAAAGTGGACTCAATTTGCATTATTTCTGGCAGTCTGCAACCCCCCTTATCTCTCTACATAAAGATTGATGGGCTAGGCTCAGCCAAGTTGCAAAGAGAAGCTTCAAAAGTGGCAGAGTAG